CTGCGCCTAATGTTTGTTTCAATATGGTGAAACCAAGCGGAGAATCTGTTAACTTAGACGAATACAGTAGATCTCAGAGTTTAGGTCGTCCCATTGGTATCATGCAAAGTGCAGTATCGCCAGGTAGTAGCCCAACGAAACATAGTCAGTCAACACAGGCTAGTCCTACTAGTACTTTAAGGCCGAAAAGACCAAGAGCAAGATCAGCCGATGAATCATCCAAAAATCTTTTAGCACCTAGAGAATCTATAGAGGATTGGGAAATTCCAGCTGATGAAATCTTAATTGGAGCTCGCATTGGATCAGGTTCTTTTGGAACAGTATACAAAGCTCATTGGCATGGTCCTGTCGCTGTAAAGACGCTTAATGTCAAAATACCTACTGCTGCTCAGTTACAAGCATTTAAAAATGAAGTTGCAGTTTTACGTAAGACACGGCATGTAAATATCCTTTTGTTCATGGGATGCGTTAGCAAACCACAACTGGCTATTGTTACCCAATGGTGCGAAGGTTCTTCTCTGTATAAACATTTACACGTATTTGAGACAAAGTTTGATTTATTCACACTGATAGAAATTGGAAGACAAACTGCACAGGGCATGGATTATCTACATGCAAAAAATATCATTCACAGAGATTTAAAGAGTAACAATATATTTCTGCACGACGATCTTACTGTAAAAATTGGAGATTTTGGCTTGGCCACAGCAAAAACTAGATGGTCCGGTTCTCAACAATTCCATCAACCAACCGGATCTATCCTCTGGATGGCACCAGAAGTCATAAGAATGCAAGAAGAAAATCCATACAGTTTTCAATCTGACGTTTACGCATTTGGCGTTGTTTTATTTGAATTACTATCCGGTCAATTACCATATTCGCATGTTAATAACAAGGATCAGATATTATTTATGGTTGGACGTGGAAATTTACGTCCGGATTTAAATAAATTGCGTTCAGATACTCCCAAGGCACTGAAGAGACTGACAGAAGATTGCATCAAATTTTCTAGGGAGGATAGACCAATATTTCGTCAAATTTTAGCTAATTTAGAAGGTCTTTCACGAGGATTACCTAAAATAACGAGATCAGCATCTGAACCAAACTTAAATAGGACGCAGCTACAATCAGATGATTTTGTATACACTTGTGCTTCGCCAAAAACTCCAGTGAATTTTCAGTTTGGAGCATTTTCCTTTTATCCTTCCGGTGGGAACATATAAAAGTATTACCCGAAGTAACGAGTCTGATGCAATTTGCATAAAATTAAAAATATTAAAAAAAAAAAAAATGGAAACGAAATCGTAATAAACTTAGCTATGAACAATCTACGCGATTCTTTACAACTACACTTTGACTGTGTTGCAACTGTTCGCTCGATGTAGAATGTGATTATACAATACTTAATTCAACTAATATAAAAAGGAAAAAAAATATAAGGACACAAAAATTCATCTTATTAATTGACGTATCCGATGTATTTCATGGCAAGAACGCATATGTAGCTTTTACCTTTACATACTTACCAAGTATCTATGAAAAAAGGACATTTATTTAACGAGTTATTGTTCGCGTGCATAAACGCGTATTTGTAAACAAGTGTATACACGTACGAACGAGCGCACGTGTACGCGTGTTGGTGTAGAGGTCTGTACTTTCGTGGAATCCTTATGAAGGATGTAAAAATTAAGTAAGTAATAGAAGTAACGGCATTTAAATCTACGTGGGCCGTCATTTGCTGTGAAGTATTTTTGCAAACGCCGAAGTGATTTTTGTACCTACTTCCTTCATGTATTGTCTTCAACATGCTCACATAAGAATTGTTCCTTTTCATATAACTTATAATTTATAGTTTAATGTTAGTATGTACATAAGTTTCGTTGAAATTATCGGAAATTTGCGCATATTGTTTTTTAAAAAGAGCGAAATGTAGACACTCTAAATACAGATTAACTAGATATCCTGTAGTAATAGATATTTTACAACGATTACCTCTTTTTTTGTAGTAATTGTTTTCTATAATAATAATCATATTTGACTGATTTTTTGTACGCAGTAAATTTTTTTTCTACGAAAAAGATTCTTTTGGTCCAACGATACCAAAAGGTTGTACTGTATTAAAAAAAAAAGAACACGAAAAAAATGACAAATCAAATTGAAAGTCAAATAAAAAGTGATATGTATACTTGGCCTTTACTTTAAGACTTCATCGATATTATAGACTATAATAAATCATTCTCGCGAGTCATTTGTTTTGGCTTGATTTGGAGCATCGTTACGAATCAAGGCCTAAAGGATCATTTACACTCATCGACGGTAAAAAGAGGAAGTAATATCGTGTTGCAACATAGATTGAACAAGTTATCGACTAACTTCCATTTCTTTTTCCTAACTTTGTAGTCGACTGTTGTTCCTTGCATTTTAATATTTATTCATTTTTACTATTACTCTTTTTCTTTTGTAAGTTTTTTTTCACTGTATTTGAGGCTCATAATGCAGGAAGGGGCGCGAACTTCACTTCGAAGTGATGAATTCGTAAAGTATTTGTTACATAGCATTAAAGACTTTCAGTTTTACGAGGTAATCGAAACTTTTGTTATGACCAAACGTGTTTCAGATAACGGCCCGATCAACAGTAAATAATCATATAGGGGAAACGTATATGCGGATTGCGAGTATACAGAGGTATACAGCGAAAAAGAAAATAATAGAGTGAACTTTTCGACTTGCGTATCGTATAATTTTGGGAGAACGCGCAGTAGCGAAAAAGAGAAATTAGTGAAACTTTATTCGATGGGCGTCTGAAGCACGCTTACGCGATCGATGATAAACCATACCGACTACGTAACATTTTGCATCATTGATTCGCGGGCGTATCCTAAAATTTAACATCGATGCGACACTCGTCAAACCGTGACATGTTTCTGAAACATATAAAAGGCCTAAGAGGAAATCTTCGAAATTTCACTAGTTAAAACAAGTGATATCTTGTTTCTAAAGCACGTGGTATCCCGATTTACTATTTATTTATTTATGTATAATCCAAGTGTGATGAAATGCAATTAAAAAGCAACAAAAAAAAAAAAAGAAAAAGAGGAAAAATACTAATAAATAAGTGCTGGATTTTAACATTTTGTCGAGAGTGCATGATTGCGAGGAACAGTGAATATGTGAATCATAGGAAAAGAGAAAACGTGTTCAAGTGTGCAAGAGAGCGAGAAAAAGAGAGAATGTATGTAAAAACGACGATGAGGACGGAACGAAAATTACCGATGAACTACGTTCATCGGAATAAAGGAACGCACTTGTCATTGTTAATGACGCTTTCTCGTAACAGGGAAATAGCGAACCGCGAAACATAATTAATGATGTTACAAAAATATTATTAAATGAAAAAAAAAAAGAGATATGTAAAAGAGGAGGATGTCGTGCAAGGTGCGGGGGATAGCTCTTTTTAAATGGCTTTCCGAGATCTTTTATAGTGCAATTTTCTAGATATGATAAAACCTTCGAGTGATACGAATGGATCCTCTACGATGTACAATGGTTAGGCTGTATAATATATAGAAGTAAAAAACCTATTCCTGCATTTTTTACTTGCGTTTTACACTTTAAACCATTTTGTTCTTGTGATACGATATAACTTGAATTAGGTCTTGACGAAGTGTGCTAATATTTAACCAATGATGTAAAATACTCTCTTTTTTTCTTTAATTTTAGTTTTTACACTTTAATTTATTGCGAAGACTAGTAAGATAGTATGAATAAAAAGTGTTTATTTAGATATGTGTAATGTGTAACACACGTGAACAGACGATGAATACAAAGACAAGAGAAAGCAAACAGTAGAATTTGCGACCCTCGCGCTCTGCGTCCTCCTTAATCAATCTTCCTGTATGTCACTATCAAATTTTAGAATATTATTTTCTCGGAAGACATTCCTCTGTATATTGCTTTAATGTATATCGTACATGTAGAAGGGTTTGTATGCGGTTGCAGATTATCGAATGTGTTTTTGTGTCGACCTGAACACCGAGAAACATATTACGTTAAAATTAACGGGAGTTGGCTCTTCGAAGCGTAGAATCAAATTGGAAGTGACAAAAGCGATAAGCGAAACTGGCTTAAAAACGTTCAAAATGAACGATCTAATTTAAATTATCTAGCGTTTGCAAAGAACGGAACGAAAAAGAACGTTAAAGAAAAGAAATGAAACAGCTCTTGATCTACGAATCTTCTTAGAGTTAACTTTAACACGTCAATGAAATTTCTGATTTTGATTGATCCAAAAGATCGACGAGGTTAGTTTTGAACAAAGTGGAACTTCTCCACTTTCAGAAATATGTCTTGTATATCGGCATTGTTAACTGTGTTATGCATAAGTGAATTATCGAACATTTTGCTCTCTTCGAATTCTACTACGAATCTCAATCGGGTTTGACACGAAAAAACGATCGGATGGCAGATTTTTCGTTTGATTGACAGACGTCGCATGGCACGTATTGTAATAGGATTTCGGCTTCGTTTTCGTCATATTATGCTGAAGCTGCTATCGAGTGAAATGTATGTCTTGTAACGAGATAGCGTGGCTGAGATTCGAGATACTTAATGCGATCGATCGTGACGATCGATTGATCATTGTATTCAACCGAAGAAGCTGGCAAAAAAATGAAAAAAAAAAAAAAAAAAAAAGAAGCAAAAATAAAAAGTTGATTCTTCATGTAATAAGTTTCGTTCTTCTTCTAACGGAGTTTCGATATATTTTATCGACTAGCCTAGTATATTGACGTTGAAAGTAATATGCTATTGATAAAACTTGTACGTGTTTGTGGATACAAAAAAACATTTGCAATCTTTATCATTGCTTCTTGGATGGGACTCGAGAAGCGACGCAATAACGACACTTCATCGTATCAGTACTGTCTCATGTATCCTTAATCAGAATATATTGAATACAACGTTTACGCGTGATAATTTTGTACGATCGAGCATTTCAATTAATGTACAATTCACTTTAATTTGTATTACACGAGTTATATCGGGAGTCGATCGGACGTGTTATTTGTTTCGTTTAGAATCATATGCTTCTTGATATGGTGAGTAGATGTACTCACTGATCCGTGTTAACGATATTACCTCGATAAACAATTGAGATTACTAAAAATTTGATCGGATAATTGTCGTCTTCGAAATTAGATGTAGTATCAGTGAGCATTATATAAATAAAAGATAAATGTCATTGATCGAATCAAAATGCAATATTTTAATTCAAGGATCACTCGAAAGAAACCAATGAGTACCACTGCCCTAGATATGCTTTTCTATGTAGTGTAGAGTACACTGTGATCTTTGAAAGGCAATATACGTAAGTACCATGTAATTGCATTTGAATCAAATATCGCGTTAAATTTAAATGACTGTGAAATTCATTAGCATCGGGCACAAAGGTGTTGTGGACATATTTCGCTCGAAGAATTGCGAATTTATTCGAACCCATTGAAAATTATTCTTTTCTCGGTAACTGTTTCAAATAAAATCGAGTAAGTACGAACAAGCTGTTTCCTTTCTATCTGTGTATCGTTATAGCGAACTTAAGCGAAGTATTCGCTGTAAAGTAGTACACGTTTATATGTTTTGCAGAAACTCAATATTTGCGTATAACTTCGCGGAATAGGTGTACAATATTGGATCATGTACGTAAATAATTCGAAATTATTTAATTTGATGGCATAGTCATTTTGCTCTTCGAACGACAGTCTTAGAATACGTAAACATGACTTAATCCGGTGAGTACACGTGTACCATAATGGCGATGGCAGCTTATAAATGCAATCACGGAAACCAAGAATCCCTGTCGGAAGGTCATCACATCGTGGATCTCTAGTAATCCTCTATGAGGTTCTCCGCTTCTCCTTCCTTTACCCCACAAATCTACAAATGCCAGATTAACTATCTTGCGTTACTCGTATAGGTACTGCTTATCATATTTACTTGTTATGCGCATTACATTGCGTTCATTTCCAACTAAAATTTACGATGACAAACAATATTGTAATTCGCTTTTCATAAAGATAATCTTATGTCGAGAATGATCTAGAGCCCGTGTAAGCGAACGCACCCCTACAAAGAGATACGATCAGTGTATAGAACGAGTATATATGTGTATCGTATATGCAGCAAAAGGTTCTAGCGTGTTGGTGAGTGCGCGTACAAACGAGAACGCCTGTACGTAGAGGTTAGAACCCACTACGCTGATGCACGAGTACTCGTTGTGTCTAAAGCGTACGTGAGATAGACGGAGGGAGCGCGCATGCGCAAATCCAGCTGGCGCCTCGACCGGCTGTAGTCGATGCTGGAACTTCGTACTGCGAGTGTCTGTGTTTGTTCTTTAAGTCTTATCGTCGTAAATTGGTACGCAAATTATATTCGTGTACATATACATAGGTACGAGTCATAGAATAGGTGAAGAGTCTCATTTATGTACGATCATCGTGAACAGGTGGACGTCGAGGTCGGTCGGTTTGCTGCGTGAAACGAGGTTAGTTGACTTCAAATCGAATTTCGGGCGGTCGCTCCAAAGGGGAACGACATTACGTGGATATTTGCCTCGAAGAAACGGCCCCTGTGTTTTTCTATGCCGCGCTGTTTCAGTGTCGCGTGTGACAATAGTCGAAAGTAGACGTGGATTACTCAGGGACAGTGCTCGCTTCTCATATTTCTTGTATGATATTTCAACGCGATGTATTAGGCAAAAATAGTATCGCGTGTTTGACCGATCGGAGTCACTTGTTCCCTGTAAATCTGCTAGCTGTTGTGTCTTTTAACTATGTTAAATTCGTGGCTAAAAGTTCGAAAAGCGTGCTACATTTCTGTGCTGAATGGATAAAATCGAATGGAAAATCGGTTATCGCCACGAAACATTTAAACTTTGACAGAATGTCCGAGCGAACATCGTTACAATTTATTGTGCTTTTAAGTATCTTTTGCTTTTCGCCATACACTACATAATATGAGTAACTTATTGAATTAGAAGAAAAATGTTATCGCGAAGAGATTGATAAGGGTTGACTATACACCGATATAATTACAATAACACAGATTTCGATTAATTGTACAGTTATTACGCGTGGATACACGTTTCAGAACGCTATTTACCAAAAAAGGAAATCTGACTAATATAATATATAACTAGTGAATTGTGTTTAAGAGGAGAATCGAAGGAAACGACATTGGCCGAGAAATGGAAAAGCAATCGTCGCGCATAAATTTTATGCCATGGAATATCGAGTGTTGATTCGAGTATCGATATGCATTAAACGCGCTTTCATCTTGTAATTACCATGAAACATGTAGTCGTTGAAACATCGTATTGTTACTTTCTCTTTAACGTTTGAATCTCGATATTTTGATGTTTTGCTTTGGAACGGTCATCTGGTCGAAATGATCACGCATTATCGATATATCTAATAACAACAAACATATCGATACCATTCAGAGTGATAAAACGATGCTGGAAAGAAGATTGTACTTCTTGGGAAAAAATGGTAATCGTGTCGCGCGATTCGGTTCTACGTGTGGTGTAGATCATCTTTGCAACATTATCGCGGTGATGCACAAATTTCGCAGTTGCGGCTTTTTCGTGTGGCGTTTCATTCTTAAAGGCGCGTGTGTGCGCCTGTCGAAAGTTGAAGCACAACAGATATCGTGCCAAAGTTAATATCGATCGTTCGACTTTTATAATTCGTCAGCGCGTCCCGTATTACGTAAAAAATGATTGCCCTTATAAATGCTCAATTGTTTATAAATCTATTGATATTTAAAGTACATTTAACCTATACTTAGTATCAAACCTAAAAATGTATCGAATCTGGCATAAAAAAAGAAAGAATAATTGCTCGATTATGTTTTTCTTTCCGAACTAACGTTGAATGTATAGTATTCGCTTTTTTTCCATTTTCCTCTTTTAACTGGTAATTAAGCTGCTTATCTGTAAACGCATTAAATGGGAATAATTACTGGTATAATTACGTTTCTAACATACGTTTCTAATATACGTTTCCTCGTCGAAATAGTAATGTTCTAACGAGTGCGTTGTTTTCTTCCTTTCCAGGCCCGAATTCAATAAGTAAATCGTAGTAACAGGTCATAAGACGTTCACCTCTGAAGGAGACGGAGGGAGAAGACCGAGGGGATCGAACGAATTTACCTCGTTCCTTCTCTGGTTCTGCTTCAGTCAGCTTCGTCCCTCGTACAAAGCAGCATCGTGTCTCTGTCTTTAATTATTCCACACCTGTATCTTCTGCCTTCTACGACAATTATTTTATTTTACCTGAATGCGGTTGCGTGGTGATCCAACGAACGACATTGGCCGCTGGAAAAACTGGAACAGCCGTTGCCCATAAGCAGCGTTGCTTCAAGACCTTGCCAGTTTGTCCTTGTAACCGAAACACATGTGCCAACCACGCTCTTAAACCACGCATCGTCCAACTATCATCCCTGTGTTTCTTGCGATCGCCTTCGACCGCACGAGGGTGGGAAAGAATAGAAAGAGTGAGAAGTTTTCTCTCGTGTAGCTCGATTTTACAATGGAGAAGAGAGCTTGGTTGATCGACGGATCGAATTCGGTGAATCGATAAAGTTATCCGACACGTTCTTCTCTGCCTAACGAGTACGTCGTCGAGAATAACAACGAGACAAACGAGCGAACGAATGTGCAGAGCGACAGAACGAAAGAATGTACGGCTGGCAGCTTTGGACATGGGATAGATGATAGATTGCGAATGATGGGGTGGTAGAGCGAATAGGAAATGCAAAATGGATTGGGTGCCTCGGCTCAGGTAGCCAGAGACGACAAGGTCGAGGGCTCCAGGGCGGATAGGCCCCGAGCTGTTTAGTAAAGCTTCCCTTCTTTTTCTCTATGCATTCAATCGAATAACGGGAACGCATTTCCCCATTAATATCGTCGGTGAGAGTATTACTTCTGAAAGACTGCTTTTCCTTTTCTGCCATCTGCCGATCGACGTTGTGCAAAAAAGACTGAATTTAATAATCAATAATCAACCGAGGAATTCAAACCGATCGATCTATGCATCAGATTGCGGTGGATTTGTTCAAAGAAGAAGAAGAAGAAGAAGAAGAAGAAGAGGAAGAAGAAGGAGAAGGAGGACAATACGAATTTACTGGTGATCACTGGTCCAACGTTAGCGTTTGTCTCACGAAAAGACTGAACACACGTTGATTCATTATTCAAAGAGAAAAAGGAGATCCGCATATCGCGTTCTATAGGAATCTGTTTTCGTTTGTCGCGCTACACATACATATCTCTCGGGATCTCACGTAATTGTTGTACATACATACCTATCTACACGTTGTACACACAGACAGCTTGTCACACCATCTATAAGAGCTTTAAGAAATTTCTGACGAACGTATATACAAAGTGGCGTACGCGTCTCATTACGCGAATTTTCGACTATTATACATATTGGAAATATGTCGGAATATATATATACATGCGTGTAGAAACAGAATATATATAATATATATATATATATATGTACACATGTAATAAAACTCTTTCGCTGCCTAATAGAAGTATTCGCGGATAAAGTGTTGTGTGCGATTCGGTAAAAGAACAAGTACGCAAACCGTATCGTTGTACCTATTGTTTTTGTTCTATGAAGAGAATTAACGTTAGAAAGATGTTTAACTCGAAGGAAGAAATGTTCGTTCGTTCTTTATTTATCTAACGGGACTCTTATCAATTTATCGAGAATATTATTGACGGCGCGCAACGAACAATTAGAAAAGGAAAGTATTTAGAGCCAGTGAGAAGTGTAGTTGAAGTGTGATCGCTGGCAGCAACAAAGCAGGATGGGTTGTGGACAGAGCAAAATCGGCAATATCTATCCAAAGAATAAGAAGAACAAAAACAATACCGGCAAGAAAAACGGAGACTCTGTCGGTGAGTAATCGATCGATAATTATTATTTTCATCCTGAAATAAAATTCCTTTTTGTTTGCTCCGTTCCTTTTACTTTTTTGTTTTTACCTGTTTGGTTGCACGGATTGTGTCGCTTAGTCGAAAGATTAGATCGTCCACAGTGGAAATATGTAATAACCGATTTGGCAAGATTCCCTCGTCGTTCGACAGACGCGGGCGAGATCGACATTGTTCGCGTAATTAACGCCGTTTCTCGTCAATCTAGGTCTGCCGTGTAATTGTTAACCCGATGACGGTAATTAAACAGATGCGTCTCAATCTAGAACATCGACACCCATCCACAGATTTCCTTCCTGATGAAAGGTGATTGAACAGTCGCCTCGATTATACCGGTGCTTTTCTCTGTCGTAAAACTGTTGCTTCACGAATATACCGCGTATACCTAGCTGCTCAAGATCAAATCGAATATGACTTTAATATGACTTTTCGCTTCTTATAGAACAGTAAGTATACTATATAAAATGATTTGATCGACCTGTTTGTCGCGTACATTGATGCACGTAACATAGTTATTCCGAGATGGTGAATAACTTGTTGAAATTAAAGTCGCAGTTTGTTACCCGTTATGTTGGAACGCGAAGAAAAAAGATATTTATCGTGCGTGACAATCGAAGATAAGTTGGCGAGCCTCCAGTTTGAAATTACGTTCCAGAACAGGTGGGACTTAACCGCCAATCGTAGCAGAGTAGATGCCCATATTTAGATCTCACGGATCCGTCTCGAGGCTAAGTCGCAATTCTCGTTGTATAATTACCATGGTAGTAGCTTTTCATTTCTGTTTATCTTGAACGTAACGCATCGAGGTTCTTTCGTGCGACTCTCGTGTGTCTATCCGTTGTACGTTCACTCAGTCGGAATATTTAAACTTCTTCCTATTAGAACCAGTAAATTCTTTAAATCCCTCAGCACGTTTACGCTGTTATATTTGCTTCATTCGGTTTAGCGGTAATCGTCCACTCATATTCCAAAGCAGCAACGTGATTTATCGTTAAACATCTCCCGTGTTATCTTACCTGGCAGTTTGTTAGATAAAACAGATAAGGTTTAATGAGGATACTTCCCGACAGAAAAATCATAATATCGATTACAACATTGATTTCATTCTAAAGACGCGTATTGCATCTTTTTCTACTAATTAGGAATTTCCCGATGTTTCCGAAAATTC